TTGATAGTTGACAGTCTAGTAACAATGTCCAGTACAAAGTACAGTACTTCCCTTGTTGCTATCCTAAGTTTTTCTTTCATCACTTATCAAGACTCTTAGGAACATCTCTTGATCAATTCCCTCATTCTGATAAATAGAGCAATTGAAATGAATCTCCACTGAAGCAAACCCCTATCTACTTCCGTCCCTCTTTAAGAAATCATGCTGAATCCATTTCTACTTCAGAAACTAGTAACATAGTAATAACATTAGTGACAACTGGAAACTCTCTCTTTCCCTTTGTGTCTCTGGACATAGCAGCTTTTTGACAATGAAATAATCTTAAGAAAAACAAATAAAATAATAAATAATAAAAATAATAATGAATAATAATCTTAAGGAATAGGTCAACATATTGTTATTAGTCAAAATCAACCAAAAAAGCTACAAGGGAACGAAAGGTCAAATGAAACATTAATTGGAAACTGAATCTCCAATTTCTGTTCAACTATCTTCCAATCATCTATTAAAAGCTTGAATTAGTAATTCTTTATTTACCCAGTATTGACCATAAGCCAATCCTGCATATCAAGTCAATTAGTAATAAAATCTGTTCCTCATAGGCATCATTTCCTGGCAGATATATCATCTTGCTGGGCCAATCACCACTGTGTAGTTTTGCAAATCGCATTCTAAAGATTAATGGCCTCTCCACTAATTTCTGATTTTAAGAAAAGCTCATGTAAGGACAGTTCAAAGGTATAAAAACATATGGTCTTATCCCCATTATTACTCTGAATCCTCTACAGCAGTGGTCCCTTAATAATGAACTTTCTATGCCTCTGAATACCTCAGAACTATGGAAGTGGATTTTTGCCCTTGTGGGACTGGATTGGTTATGTCAAGAGCAGGATGTTTTGAAGTAAGGGTGCTTCTGTTTTCTTCTTTTCACATGCACCCTTCCACTTTCCACCACTAATTCAAATTGCACAAGCACAAGGCCCTTGCCAGTGGCTTCTCTTATTCTTGGTTTTCCCAAGCTTTAGAACCATGAGTCAAAATAAACCTCTTTTTAAATAAACCATCTGGTCTCAGGTATTCTGTCAGAGCAACAGAAATCAAACTAAGACACTGAGAAAAACAGACATGTCCACATTCATACAAAATGTAACTACCAATTTGAGGTTTATACCTTATGTTTCATCATGGAATCTATGTCAAGATCCTGTTTCATAATCACTAGCAGAGCCACCTGAGATGGTGGATAAGCAGGAGAGAGTCCTGTTGGGCAATTCCAAGATAAAGATAATCAAAGCAAAAGTGAGATGAAATTCACAACCATACTCTGAAGCCGAAATTATAGCACCACAGTGCTTATTTATTCATATCACAAATATTTATTGAGCACTATTATGTACTAGGCAAGGTATTAAGAAGATATGATAGTGATCAAACTCTGTTGTAGTTAATAAGGTTTTGGCTCTCATGTAGCTTAAAAGCACCAAAGGAAAGAAACTCTATCATCCTGATGAATAATTATAATAGGACAAAGAAAACATATTTTATGACTGCCTATAACAAAAGAACCTATTTGAGAGTGAAAGTTCATAAACGTTTCCTTAAAGGTAAGGTTAAATCTAACCAGTAAATAAGAGTAACCTATGTAGAAATGGGGGTGAGGAATAAGGTTAATATAAGCCTTCTAGATCAAGAGAACCACATAAACAAATATCCTAAGGTGGAGACAGTACGTAGATTAGGCAGTTGTACAAATATGAATTTATGAAGTTGTGAGTTCTCCTATCAGTAGTTTTCTTCTTAACCTATTATCTTCTAATGAAAATAATGGAATGTTTATCATAGGACAGTTGAGAGAATTCAAAGAATATATGTAAAGAACTTAGTGAAATGCTGCCTCACATAGTAACTACTCACTTAATATCAATGATGCTAATGATTATAGAGTAGTAGCTGAGAACCTGCACACAGTACATATTAAAAGTGCCTGAGGCTGAGCATGCCTTAATCCCAGCTGCTCAAGAGGCTGTCAGGAGGATCATGAGTTCAAAGTCAGCCTCAGCAATTTAGCAAGGCCCTAAGCAACTCAGTGAAACCCTGTCTCTAATAAAAAAGCTAGTATGGGGCTCAGTATTTAAGTGCCTCTGGATTCAATCCCCAGTACCCCCCCCAAAAAAGAAGAAAAACTTTAAAAAAAAAAAAAAAGTGCCTGAGTTTACTCAACCCCAGTTTACTCAGCAGCTCCTGAAGCTACTGATAACAACTTTCTAGGGCAATATACAAGAAACAAATATTTCAATAGGGCCTACTCATCATTTTTACTTATATAAATGTGCTAAACAAAGAATTATATTTATATATAACACAAATATGTCATCTCCACCTAAGAACTACAATATTTTACCACTGAGACTATTCTTTTAAATAAACTAACAATTTTACTGATGAACTCTGGAAAATGCTTAAGTGAAACAGTTGATGTATAATTCAAAAAGAAAATAATTTCACTTTGCTTCTAAGCAAAGTATTACATGGATCCCCAGTAATGGAGAATGTATTCTTTTAGTAGAAGTTTGTTAACATAAAAGGAAATACATCCTTTTCATGTATATACTCTCTCTTCGCGTATTAGATCCATTTTTTCCTAAACTTAAATATCTGATACATTTCCCGGACTGCTGGATTACTCAACAATTAAGAGCTGAGACATCAAAATACTTCACTTCTATACCACAAAAATGCAACATTACCTGGAAAACTAGTCTTCATTATATCAATTCCAACTTGTAGCTCAGGTTCAGCAGCAAGCACTGCATAGTCCCCTTGATGAGAGATGTTAAAGTTGAAATTAGGGTAAGGATTCAATGAGTCCTTTGCAAGGACTGGTTTTCCTTTTGCAGTTCTTTGCAAACGGATATGATTCCAAGGGATATTCAATTTCTCTGCAACTAATTTCCTTATCATCAGACGACCAGCCTGTTAAGTACATAAAACATTTGATATGTATTGATGTCTTCTAAACATTATTGATGTCTTCTAAACATTAGGCATAAAATATACATTTTTGTGGCTTCTGAAATTTTCAAGTTTTGGAAGTATATAAATATTAAAATATGATGCACTGCTATCAAGTAATTATTATGTAGATAGAAGAATACCATTTTGCTTAGCAATTTCTTCCCTTACCCCACAAGCAACATTAACAGCAGGTATCAATCCAGACTTCTCTTTAAGTATTTAAATATATGTACTTCTACATGTTTTTGCTAACTCTTGCTATATAAACACATATAAAATCATACTATGCAGTATCCTACAACTTACTAACTTTTTAAGTACTGGGGATTATTTCATGTCTATCCGTATCAGTCCAGTATGTAGCATACTTCATAGTATTGAGGTTCCATAGAGTATTGGCCATTCCCCTATTACTGAACATGTTAGGTTATTATGAATATTGTAGATTTGCTGTTATAAAATTCCAAACCAAGCAACCCTCCTCTATCTACATTCGTACATATATGCAAGTATTTCCAGATTCTATGCATTGATCATTCAGCTTCAAAAATTAGTAAGGCATAACCTATCTTGTTCCAGTCTCACACTTCCTTTATTAAGAAAAAAAAAAATACACACACACGAGTATGACAGGTTTAAAATATTTTTTAAAACTCCTTCAGGACTTTTTCCTTCATCAATTTCAACACTGACTGCAGGACTTTCAAATTCACTGTTTCCAGTTTCTTACAAATTATTAAAAATATTCACCAATTTGCCCTCATAAAAGAATCAACTAACTGGCCCATATTTCAGTATTTAAATATTGAGACATTTTCAAGAAACGAATGTCTATGAAGTGATGGTAATTAAAGGTTGCTTAAACTATGCTACACAGTAATTTATTTTGAAATCTAATTTGCCATATTTTGCTATAAAAATACAAACATAATTAAAAAACATAATACATCTATTACAAATACTGTTCCCCAAGATTGCATCCTCCCTGGACTTCAGTTTCATTGATAAACGGACGACTGGCCTAGGCCTCTTACAGTCCCATGGTACACAAGGATACAAGCAGGCTAAGTCGTATTGTCAATACTTTCTGAGCATGTGCAAGATGCCCCTGGGACACTGGTGGGCTATGTAAAAGGCAGATTAGCATGGCCTATGAATCCAGCAAAGAAAAAAAAATACAATTTGCTACCACGTAAAAGATACATACAGTAACAATTAACTACAGTAAAAAAAAAAAACCACTATTACTCTGTAGGTTTTCCCTACACTTATTTTATGATTTGGTGGGGGTCTCTATTTTCAATTGCATGGGGGAGGAGCTAATTTTTACTGCGATCGAGGCCTCCCAGGAGGTTACAAAGACTTGAGAGACCAGGCCGAGAGCCTGACCGAGACCCCGCAGCGCCGACCACTCTTACCCGGGACGGTCTACAAGTGTTCTAGAGCTCAAAGATCCACGTTACGGAGGGAGGATGGTCTCCACAGCCCAAGCCAACCCACCTCCCCCAACATCTGCTTTCTCGGCTTTAAATACCAAAGACCTGTACTACCATGGCTGCCTTAGCGTCCCGGGCAAAGACGAACTGGCCAATGCGCTCCTTCTCCTCTGGCTGGATCGATCGCACCGCCAGCAGCCATTCTGCACGGCTCGGCAGCCAAGTGCCACAGGAAAAGGCCCAACGCACGCCCTCCATGGATGGCACCAAGCAGAACCGTTTGGCTGGGAAAACCATACACTGAACACGGGTTTCACCGCCACCTCGGGCCTGATGGCGCGGACGCTAGCGTGGCCACACCCCCTTCTTCTCGGCGTCTGTGCGTAGAAGGCGGGGCGCCGTGCGGCGTCAACTCGCACGTAGCTCTCCCAGAGCGTTCCCTGCCCCGCCCCAAATTCGGCGGTCTCTCCTTGGAGATAGCGGTCGGGGGCGGTTACACCAACGACCTCTGCGCTTTGCGGCACCGTGTGACGTCACGTAGGCGTGACCCCGCAGGCGAGCGAAGGGAGGGACCAAGGCCAGGAGCCCTACAGTTACGCCATTCACGCGTAGGGAAATACTAACCAGACAGCGGTGCAAGCCAATCGCAATCAGTGCTCTGGAAGCAGGGAGACTTGGGTGGAGACTTCAGAGACTGCAGTTGCAGGTGGGTGAGCTCCTGGGTCTGAGGGGAGGAGTGGGATGTCAGTTCCTCATTCCTGGGGTCGGGGTTACCTCGTACGACCCCCAGAGAAGGGGCTTTCCTTACCTTCAGCTGCTTCTGTCGCCCCTTTGTATTTTGGGGAGGGAGAGGGTTTTCTGGCTAGGAAGGATTACCTAGATATCCCTGGAGTTGTGCAACGCGGTGGCCCTGAGTTGCCTCCTCCTCTTGCCCCCCAGCCTCATCTGTCAGTGGAAAACCTACCCTCACCCAGGCATTCCTTACCCCTAACAGCCGCCCACCTGAAAGCTGCCATCGAAAGCCGGGCTAAGACCCTGTCCTCAGCGCTGGCGCGAGCGCGGGCCCCGCCTGAATCCGAGGCTGTCAGCTAGCTGCTGGGCTAATGCTTACCCTTCATTGCGGCGCTTAGCGCCCAGGTGCTATTTTGCGGTTGCCACGCCTGAGCTAGTATTAAAGGGAGAAAACGGGATTCCGATGTTGAATCATCAGTGGTTTCATCTTGACAGAGGTCCTTGATCTCTCTAATAGCCACAGAAATCAAGTAAATAACTTCAACGGTCCTTCAGGTTTACTCTGTGCCTTTGCTCACTTTTTCCCCTCAGGCTTTATAAAGAGTCACATTGATATAGTCTGTTTCCATGTAGACTGTTTATGACTTTTTTTCGGTCAGTACTGGGGATTGAACGCAAGGACGCTCTACCACTAAACTACGTCTCCAGTCATTTAAAATTTTTATTTTGTGACAAAGTCTTGATAAATTACCCAGTCTGGCTGTGAATTGCCATCCTCCTGCTTCAGCCTCCCCAGTCACTGAGATTACAGGCATACGCCAAGACTTTAAGCTGTTGGTAACACAGAAAAAGCCCACCTGATCAAAGTTCTTGTGGATTTTGGTAGAGGGAAAAGTTGTATCTGCAGATGAATGTAAATACCCCGCTTGATGGTAGATTAAGTGCTATACAATGGATTCAGCCTATTCGCTTCTTCCTATGGCTGCCAGGAAATATCATCTATGTCCCGCAGTATTGATCACCACAGTTACCTGCCTGTTACTTCTTTAAGCAGAATTTTATTCCTTTTTTCATATGTACTTCTTCCCCATTAAGTTTTTGTAATATCATGAGTCCCCTCGAATCCTGTGCAAGGCAATGGGATTTTGAAAACACACACACACACACACACACACAGAGAGAGAGAGAGAGAGAGAGAGAGAGAGAGAGAGAGCGAGCCTCAGAGCACAGTAAGATGAATTATTGTCTTGAAATATCAATTTAGCTAATACTAAGAGATTTTGTCAGGTGCTATGCTTAAGATCTGCTTACCACTTGCAGGGAGCTTTGTCTAGTAAGGCAGATGAAGGACACACATAAAAAGCTTCAATAAGAAGATATGAAAAGTAAAAAAGTACTAAAATCTACATCAGCAACGATTATAATACAGTTTTTCATTTTTCACTTTTTGTATCTAAGCATCATACATCATAAATGAAGCATCATTTCCTTATCTTTTGAACTGATTTTTATAATTTTGGTATGTTTTCTGTTTTTAAAATACATCTATGTACATTATCTTACATGTTCTTCTGTTAATAATTATTAATGATGGAGAAACAGCTCAAAGGAATTTGCAAAATAATTTAAGTTCAGGTTTAGGAATTCATATTCCCTTCTTTTACCACTACACTAATTGTACTAATTGTACAAGTGCAATATACGGACAAGTGATGTAGTGGTTATTTTTACAGTTTTTTTCTACCTATAATATAATTCTCTCTTACCAACATCACATTCCTTGTTCCTCTGTATGATTTAGGCTCAAATGTCATACAAAGATAATGTCTAGAATAGCTCATTCTCCTTACCCTCAATCCCAGCCCCAAGTCTACTACTCTAGTGAACACCCTTTGTAGGTTTATTTAAGTTAATCACCCTCCTTATTTACTTTTTAAAATCTTATTTGTCCTTCAAGGCTTAGCTTAAGCCTTTCTCCAGAGTATTAAAAAATAAAGGTATTGTTTATAGAATTCATTTGCCAATTATTCAAATATTGCTTTATAAAATCTCTTTTATGGTCCTGATACACACACACACACACACACACATAATCTTTCAAATAAGAATATAAATTGAGAAAGAATTTCATGTATATTTGAACTTTTACAATGATATACATAAGTAAATGTTAGTAATTGACTATTTTTGTACTGCAAATTGAAGCCAGGGTCTCAGTCATGCAGACAAGTGCTCTGCCACTGACCTATATCCCCAGCCCTTTAAAAAAAAAAACTTTTTGGGACACTATGCTGACCAGGCTGGCCTCAAACTTGCAATCCTGTTGCTTCAGCCTCCTAGATAGTTGATATTACAGGTATTTATCACTGCCCCCAGCCTAGTAATTGACTTTTACAATAGATTTTATTATTCTCATTGGGGTAATACTGTTTTTATATAGTCTGTCTTTATCTCCTTCACTTTTTTAAAAGGAAATATAAATGCACCAGTTAGTAACTTGCCTAACTAGGTTCCATAAACCCAAAATTATATTAAAAATTGTTTATTGCATTGGTCAGGAGAAGAAGAGGATGAACATAATAGAGGCTTTGCCAGTTTATGAGTAATAGTCATTTTGCCTGATCCTGATTCATAGCTTCTTACAGGGATTCTGGGAGACATGATGTTCTGTTTCCAGTTCTACCACCAGTTGTCTGTATGACTTTGGTAAATCACTCTCCCAGGTACTAATTTCAGTGGAAAGGCATCAAATGAGATCTAGCTAAGATATTTGAGATCACTAGCTTTTTATTGGGTTACAAACTTTGTTCTCTCTCAGACCTTTTTCTTTTTTCCCACCCAAGACTTTATTGACTAGCTCTATAATTCTGCCAGTTTCTCAAGGAACAAACCATTATTCTCCCTTTTCCTCATTCTCCATGTTCATCCCAAAGCCCTATTTTGGTTCTGCTCTAAAGTAAAGCTAAATCCATCTATTTCTCTTCCCATCATTGTACAACTTGTCTTCAAAGCTAAATCTAGAAATCTATGCTCTTAATCACTATGCAACATTGCTTCCTAATTAGATTGACAAGGACAGAGTGTTGTGGCACAGAACTAATATTCCTGAAAGGTTAGATGAGGAGAGACATGAGCATTCAACTTTGAGATGATAGTGTGGTGACATTGAGAAGGGCAGTTTAAGTAGGGTAAAAGAAAGGAACTTGATTGTAGTGGAATGAGAAGGTAACTTGAGGCTATGCTACCACAAAGTTAGCCCTTAAAGAAGTTTTTTCTACTTGAAAAAAATATAAAAACAGGATGGTAGCTAGAAGAGAATAAGAAGTCAAAGATATTTTTTGTTTGGTATTTGTTTACAGATGAGATACTAAAATTTGTATTCTGTGGAAAATGTATAGTAGAGAAAGAGAAATTTTACTATTGCAAGGGAGGTTAGTTGTGTGTGTGTGTTTTCACCACTCTAATGTGTACTCCGGAGTAGAGGACCTTGTCTGTATTGTTTTTAGCTGTATCTTCTGTATTTAGAACAGAGCCTGCTATAATAATAACTACTCCCCTAACTTTCTAACAATTGCTGAATGACATGGACTCTGCTTCTTTTACTCTTTTTTCAATTTATTTTTCACATATTTTCTGGAAAGATTTTTTTAAAACACAAATCAGATTAAATACCTAGTTTAAAATTAGTTGTTCCTATTGTACTTCAAATCAAATTGTAGCTCCTTGCACCTGCTTTCTGCAGTCCTGTTTCCTGACATGATTGTTCCCACTAACTGTTCTCCAGGTACACCAGCTGCCTTTAAATTTCTTAAAAACTGAAGGACTACTTTCTCACTTTAGGACTTTATCTAGTATTTCTCCCACCAATACCTTACCTTCTCACCAGTCAAGTCTCAAATTATACCTTCTTAGAAAGGGATCTGAGTCACACCCCATGTACCCACTTACTTACTATTTGACCTTGGGAAAATTACTCAAAAATCTCATGTTTTTCTATCTAGAAAATGGAGATGATACTCCAGTTATCTGCTTTATATAATTGGTTTGAAGATTAAGAGCATGTATAAAGCATGAAGTACAGATCCAGGCACAGAGTGAGCACTGTGTTAACTGTAACCATTTTATTATCTGAAGTAGACTGTTCCTGCTTTTCTTTTTTCTTTTTTCTTTTTTTTGTGTGTAATTTATTATCATCAGCAGGAACCATATCAGCCATATGCTCCAAAATATTTAGTTCCTAATTCGTATATAGTTAACATATGCAATAAATATTGAATAGTATAAGCCAGAAATCTTGCTCCATTTTGGAACATCAGTATCAAACTAATAAGTGAATGACTCAATGAAATCAAAGCCCAGGTCAATTAGGACACAGCTTTAATTTCATATTTTATCAATTTTCATATGCCTTTCCATCACTACTTTGCATCAAAGACTTGGTTCTTAGGTTTGACCCTTGTACTTTTATTGATTCAATTATGTAAATCACCTTTTAATGGAGGACATTAAAAGAAAGAATAATTTGTTTTGAAAATTGATTCAGTCTTTATTAAACAGAAAGGTATTTCATTGAAGCTGAGATGCAATAGATGAAATACACTATTATTTTATGTGCTACTAAGAAAAAAGATATGCCAGTTTAATTATTGTATATTTTTTTTATCATTTGGAATTTTTCATTCTGAAAAAATGAGCCATATGTGCATGTGCTCCTGTGTATATATGTATACACACACACACACAAAAAAAACATATATCCCTTGTACATACACTGAAAGAAAAATTGGCAGAGTTGTTCCTAAAACAACTTAACATTCAATCTCTATTTAGGCTCACTTTCAATTCATGCTCAATGTCTGTGTTATATCCATATAATATCATTCTTTGTTTATAGCATTAGTGATTCATCATTTCTTATGGAAGCATCTGTTATTATCTCCAGGGTTTTCTTCCAAGTTGCTAATATCCATTTTC